ACACCGAAAATGGAGCCTATTTCACAAATTCAGTACCTACAAAATTTCAAATTGAAGAAGTATAAACTGATTATAATATCAAATGAAAAGTAAGTCCTTCATACTGCCGCCGCGGACCAGGTCATGCGAAGAGGTACAACCACTATACCCAGCTTACGAGGTTTATGGTGGGGAAAGTACACTTGCGCGTGGATTGATCTATGCCGTTGCCGACCGAACTCGCTAGGTGAACTATTTGGGCGCAGCATCATGTCAAATCACTCTCGCGCATAAAAAACTAATCCGGTTGGTCGATGATTTGACCTGCAAGGAGAATACAGCAGGTACAAGAAAAAGTGTTTGAATGTGTACATTAACAGGTTTATGATATCACTTTCCCATCTAAGACACGATCTGACTTTAATTACATTTGTCTCGAGTGTTTCGTCAACTTAATGTGTTGCTTAAAATAATACTTCTGCATGCAGTATGTGACACTGTGAGTGTTGCACGGCCAGACACGGCTCAGCTGACTCAGATAAGGAGATATAGCGGACTGTACTTAATGTTACTCTGATCCGGTTACTTATGTTGTGGCAGATATTTAAGTAAGCTTTCTTAACGCTAATGTTATAATAGTCAGATTGCTCTGAAGATGGGAGGTGATATTCTATTAATGTTCACGTTCACACAGTCGGTGATTTTTGCCGGCCGTCTTTCCTGCAACGGCAGCTTTTCTGTATTTCCTTTCTCCTGTAATATGACTTGATCGCTTTAAACTCCGCACCCTGAGCTCTGATTGGTCAGCAGGCAGTGCTTTCACTGAGTTGATCTCTTAGCCTGCAACCTAACCTGCTCCGGGGCAGGTTAGCCGCACAGCCTAAATTACCATGGAGATCTAGCCTGCTAAAAAGAAAACCAGCGTCGTAGGACCGGAAAGCCCGAGTTTTCCCTGAAGTTAGCCGGCTAAGCGAAAATCCTGCTTCGTAGTATACCCCCCAGATGCATAAAGATCTGCATTTATTTACAAAAAGGCCTCTATGATTTGTGTGCGTTTTTGTTTTGCGTTAACAATCTTTTTTGTGTTTCTGCCGTTTCTTCAGCACTCACACCTGACTCGGTGCTTTGCTGATGTCATGAGGGGACACCATAACGCACAGATCTCCTTCAGAGAGAAATGCAAAGCACAGATTCAGAGACATCTGGAGATTGGTGAGTTGCAAAAATACAAATAAAACCAAAACATAAACATTTAAACCCCCCCTACTTGGCGCAGTGTTGTGTAAATAGACTTTAAATGATAACCTTATCATGCTGGTATAGCTATTAAAGCTTTTTATATAAGAATAAAAGGTTGCCTAAACTAGTTTGAGTACTTAATATACAAAGTTCATTTTGTGGGTGAAGTATCCTTTTAAACTAGATCGCTTGAAAATCTCTTCAATTCATATTTTTGTGTCTATTTCAGTGGATAAAGTGACTACAGATGAAGAGTTCGAGGATATGCTGCACAGTGACAATCTTTCCATCTTCATTTCTGATGTAAGTGCTATTCCCTTTAGTTCCTGGCCACAAAAACGCTTATTCAATTCTTGGAAATATCCACTATAGTTTATTTTTAGTTGGATCGACTAGTGTACTTTTCTTTTACAGGTCAACTCTAATGCTCGGATTTCAAGCCAAGCTTTGAGTGAGATTGAATCCCGTCATCAGGACATCATCTGCCTCGAGTCCAGCATCAAAGAGCTGCACGAGATATTTGTAGACACTGCCATGCTGTTGGAGATTCAGGTTACTTGCCTTTTTGGAATTGTTTAATGACCACTGATACAAAGAAATATACTAATGTGAAAATGATGTTCTTCCTCTATCAGGGGGAGTTGATGAACAACATTGAAAAAGCTGTGACGAGCGCTGCAGAGTATGTGGACGCGTCCAAAACTGAAACGTATGAAGCAGTCATGTACAAGAAAGACAGACACAAGATTGGATTGCTCCCAAACTTCTTCAACTCTTTCAGGAGGAAAAAGGCTGCTAGAACTGCTAAAGATCAAAACACCTCAGACTGAGCTCCTGAAACTGTTTGAACATCCAAAAACCATTAGATCAACGTCAACGCCTGCTCGATGGTACCCACTTTCATCTGATGGTACGCTGCCTGTCTGCCCCCTCAAAGGAAAATGAGGAAGCTGTTATCTTAAAGTTAAAATCTTTTTCATTTGTACTTGCTATCACAAGGACCGGAAATGAAACTGGTGCAGTGGACAAGCCTCGCAAGCTTTATTTGTAGGTTACCTGTTGTGTATAATGAAGGCAACATACAATCTAAAAAAATAAGAATTTAACTGTTTACAGACTCCCAGTGCCGGGACTGTAAAGGTCTTCAGTTATGCGGAACGCTGTATACCCATCTCAATAATACAAAAATATTTTAACTGTAGCTACATTTTTTTATTCACCACAGCCGGTGTTCCCCTAAGTCGCCAGTAGGTGGCATAACAACATTAGGTAGAGCTTTGGATCATTTACCTTCCCTTCTCTCTGCAGTCCTGCTCAACTCTTGTGTGTGATACTGTGTGTTTTTCTAATGCTATTTAATGTCACGTTGTCTAAAATATATGTGATGTCATAGGATAAACTATGAGACCAATAGTTAAATAAACCTATGTGGTAAATGCTACTTTACATAATTTGTATCTGGTGTTTTTTTTGTAACATGTGGATGAAAACAGGGAACAGGAGTCCAACATTAGGTTTGATGCACAAAAAATATAGGGAAAGGTCTACAATTACCCCTTATCCCGCCATACAGAAGTCCTAATTCAAGCACAATCAACATAGTACTGGTTTCATGTTCTTTGGCCACCACAAGCAAATGCAAAGCTTAAAATATCTGCCAGGCACATTCAGTATTGTGATAAAGATAGTAGAGAGAGGGGCTGGAAATCTTATATTGTTCAGACCAGTGACTGCGGAGGTCATAGCACATCTAGTTTAAATGTGTTTAAACATTCAGTGCCTTTTTGTGTCCTGTACATGGAGGCATTGTCATTATGAAAGACACTACAAAATGGTTCTTCATGGAGTTCTGGTCACCATCAATGTATCGTTACCTATTCCTTTAATTGGTTACCTATTCCTTTAATTGGTCTGTCTTTATGATAGTGGTTTGCTTGGGACTATTTGTCGCTCATGTGCTTCTCAGTGTTATCTGACTGTAGGAGAGGACAGACAACAACTTTTAGACAAGCTGCATCATGGGAATCCTGCCAGGATGCACCCATTGACCTCTCTCTCTCCCGCTTCTCTCTCAGATTAGATTTCACTGCACTTTGCTCAAACCAATGATTTCCATAGGAAACTAAAGAGGAAAAGGATGACCATGTAATACTAAGAAAGGAAAGGTTAAATAAGATAAGGTCAAAAAATAAACATACACAGGCCTACATAAAAACATAGTTTCTTTATTGGTTGGGTGGTGAGGCCCTCAACATAGAGCTTGAGCACCATTTTGAAAGGGCTGAGTGATAAAACAGAGGGCCCAGGCTGTCTGCTTTGATTGACAGATCATCCCTCTGTCATTTAAACAAACAGGCTCGTCTTCAAAATAACCAGTAAATATTTCCCCAGTTGGAATGGATTACAAGGCTTGACATAAGAGGAAAGGTTGAAGAACAAAAAGGGGGATCAGTCTCTTTTTCCTGCCTCCTCACGGCTTACTTCTTGGCTTTGCCCTGAGCCGCTACGGCCTCCATGGCCTTCTTCACGGTTTCCTCATCACCGAGGAACGCCATGGGCTTCGTAGGCTTCAGGTTTGCGTCCAGCTCGTACACGATTGGGATTCCTGTGGGCAGGTTCAGCTCCATGATGGCTGCATCGGACATACCTGGGAACACAGGCAGACGGATAGACGCGCAGGTCAGCAAACAGAGAGAGGGAATGTAATCGATACCGAAAACGGCTGCCTGGGCCCAGCTAGACAGACAGGAAGGACGATTTTACATAATAAATGTTATTAGCAATACAGGTTTTCTTTTTGTCTAATAGTATTAGAAGTTTTTTGTATCAACGCGTAACTAATCCAACAAACTTTATCTACTTGTTTCTCTGATCCATGCCACCTACTTTCCCTTTCTGACATTTACTGTTGCCTTTTAGACTCTTATCAATGTCTGGCCACTCCTTGAAAAAGTACAACCTTTCTACATAAAGGTCGTGACTGTAATGGGAACCAAGCTCATGAACCCTGTCCCTGAGCTGAGTCCCGGCATGCTATTTTTATAACCGTAATCCACGTGTGTGTGTGTGTGTGTGTGTGTGTGTGTGTGTGAGAGTGAGATAGCAAATACACATAAGTGTCTGTGATTATTTAGGCTCTGGCCTTGTATGCAAATGCATTGGAAGCTGATTTCAAACCGAATTATTTGATTAATTCTCGATTGCCATTTTGCTGGGGTAGTGTCAACATGTCAACATTGACCTTTACTACTCCCTGCAGAACTGTCTTTCTTTTCTTTAAGCTTTGTCTACCTGCAAACTGCAATGCTCACCCTCAAGATGCTTGACGATGCCACGAAGGCTGTTTCCGTGAGCAGCGATGATGACGTTCTTTCCGGCCTTGATTTCAGGAGCAATGACGTCATTCCAGAAAGGCAGGGCGCGGGCGATGGTGTCCTTCAGGGACTCACATGTAGGGAGCTCACCGGGCTTCAGATTCTTGTAGCGCCGGGACTGGAGGTAGAATAGTGGAAGGTTGTTTATTCCCATAACAATTGACAGAAGTTACATAGCTGACTGATACAACTGTTGAAAATCATTGAGTGCTTCCTCCCATTCTTGAGAAAATCATGAATTTACAGTTATTCTACACTAGCCAATACTTCTTCTCCCCTAGTTGTCTCACCTCACTGATGATTTTGTTGTAAGCGTGCTCCTTGTCCATGGGTGGAGGTGGGGTATCAAAGGAGCGGCGCCAGATCTTCACCTGCTCCTCTCCATGTTTTTCCGCCGTCTCTGCCTTGTTGAGCCCGGTGAGGCCTCCGTAGTGACGCTCGTTCAGGCGCCAGGTACGATGCACAGGCAGCCACATCTGGTCCGTGCCTTCCATGATGGTCCACAGGGTCTTGACGGCACGTTTCAGCACGGAGGTGTAGCACACATCGAACTTCATGCCTGCATCCTTGATAGCCTGGGCTCCACGCTTGGCCTCCTCCATGCCCTTCTCACTGAGGTCAGCATCGAACCAGCCGCAGAAACGGTTCTCCTGGTTCCATGCGCTCTCACCGTGGCGCACAATAACCAAACGATGTACGGCAGCCATGTTTACAGTGTGTCTCCTGAGTTTAACTTCCCTCAGCCCTTTTAAGTTGTGCACACACACACACTGTCTGACCAACAGTGAGCCCAAGCCAGCATACCACACTCTTTTTATAGCTGCCTGGATAGTGACAGAGAATAGCAGACAGGCCTCTTGAACTTCCCACCTGTGAGAGGCATTCATGCTCTGATGGACACATGAGACCCGCCAATGGAAGCAGGCCTCTGCTATGCTGGAGAGACATGTGGTGGCTGGAAGGCCAGAGGTCAGATATAAAGCCAAAATAGCAACATGACTTTTAAACTGAGATCTGTTGAACAAAAGTGTAAAGATCAGAGTTGGCTGCAGAGTTCATTGAGGGTTTGATCCCTGAGAGAGAAACTGCAGCTCATTACACTGTGAAGGGTTCATATGTTCAGTATATAATATGTGTTTACAGTGCATTTGTTGTGTGTATAACAATGGCAAAGAGGCCTTACACAGATCAACCCAGTTACAACACTGTGGTAGAGGAAAACCAACCATGTTGCCAAAACACACACACACACACACACACACACACACACACACACACACACACACACACACACACACACACACACACACACACACGCACACATGCACGCACACACACACACACACACAAACACAACTCACACCACTTTTGCTACGACTATTACCGCTATTAATAATAGTCATTGTTTATTAAAAGAATGCAAACACCAAAATACATGAATGTGAACTGACAAAAGATTTTCAGTTAAAATAAATAGTTATAATGCATCCCTTACGATCTCAAACTACATACTGACTTATCTTAAAGGATTGACCTGGTTAAACCTTAACATATACATCAGCAATATCAAACTAAAACATGCATTGGAGTTTATAAAGTGTCATTACTGTCCATCCCCTCTAGGAGATGCTGTTGTATCATTCCTACATGCAACAAGTCTCACTGTATTAAAGTATACTAAGAAATCCTTGCAGTTTACCTAAACATTTCAGTAAGACACAGATGCACATTAACACATCATTAATGCTTGTAGCAGCATGGGGTTGTCAGTATCAATACAGAATACTGATTCAAGTTATTGTTATTCTGGAGTTGAGGATGGTAGTGTTCCATATTCATGGTAATATTATACGGCAAATAATCAAAGCCAATTATTCCGCAGCATGAAATGTAATGTTGGGAAGCACTTAAACTTTCAGGACAGAGACCAAAGTGCTGATAAAGAGTGGAAAATAAGCCACAGAGCCAAAGCTGTCAGGCAATGTCAATGTCTCCTGCCACCCCCAATCCAATTATGATCCATATATAGTAAAAAAAGAGGAATTCAATAATCCAAAAATATGATATTAATGGAATTTCAGGCTAAATGCCAGCCTTAGTGATGTGATCTTCTGTACGAAGTGAGGGCTAACAAAGATGATGCTGCAGGAAAAACACTAGTTTGAAAACCATATTCATGTCTAATTCAGGAAGATTAATAACTAGTTTGCTGGTTCTGTATCACTGACATATTTACTTTTTCTACGTGCCCTGTTTCCTGTAAAATCACTTTTGTTTTTAACTGCATTTATATGACAGCAAGATAACAATTGTTGATTGCATAATGAAATGGGAGCGCTTTGAATATGGATGTCGCTGCATTACAATGTTAACGTTTAACCAGTCATATGATGCTGTCATTAGTTTGTCCTTGATGCCTGGGAATTTAATATGTAATCATTTGAATGTTAGACTAAGGCTGAACTTTTATGTTAATCAGCTTCACAGGGAGGGAGGACAGGCATCAAGCTCGAAATTAGCACATTGTTAATTTGTCCGGGGAAGAGAAGTTAATGGTCTACTTTCTCTCTCTCATTTCCCCAGGTGCTGTGGGCATCTTGTCAGCGGTGCAGATTGTCAGACTGCTGTTAGTGTGGGAGGCGGTGTACACAGCTTGTGTGAACACAACTGTTACGATGACTCAGCCTGCTGCAGAGTCCATGCTGCCCCCACTAAACCCGCCCCACCACCAACCTCACACTTGCTGTTTAGGTTCAGCACCGCATGTGAGTACAGCGGGCCTTTGCTGCAAAGGCAAATAGATGGAGCGTTCACAATAAGGATCATATGCACACAGAAACACAGATATTGCTGCAAAGCACTGCAAAGCTCTTTGTGCATGATGGAGCTCGAAAGCACGATTCATTTCCCAGCATAAACTTTCACTGAGCCACTGCCTACCTGCAGATACACAAACACACACATAGTCACAAGTCACACAAGAAAAAGAAATGCAAGTCAGCAGCTAGGTGTAATTGACCTGTCTGGGTGTGTGTGCTGTAGATAAGAGGGACTGGTATTGATTGAATTGAAAGAACACCCCTGAAAAAAGGCCAAAAAAATATGTTTCTCTATTCAGAAATACAACAACATTTATCTTAATACGTTACGGTTAGGATAAGTCATCATAACACTTGCTATATCTCTTGTCAAATCATTATAAACCTTATTTATTCATATATTGTGCACAGGCATTCCAGTTCTCCCTTTACACTAAGGGTTTTTCATTCATGCAACTATGACACAAAAGCACTGCTAGATTTGTACCTGTTTTACTGAACTCGGATAATTTATGCTGTGAGTCTTTCATATGATAATTATTTTGCATCAAAACAAATTATTGTCAACATTATCCATCAAAAATATGCACTACTAATAATTGTTCTACCTTATAGAAAGACAAAGAAGATGGAAGAGAAAGAAACAATTTTTTTAACCATATTCATATTTCTACTTTTGTATAGTGTCAATACAGCATGTTTAGGTGAGATGTTATCACTGCAGGTGTTTTAAGGTTGTGGGTGTAGTTCTGCTCTCCACCAGAGGGAAAGATGCTGTGTCATGTTAGTAAAATCAGGACACCCCCTCCCCCTTCTCTCTCTCCTGCAGTGTGGATAGCACAACGAGTATGTTTTTGCCATGTTCTTTCTCGCTATATAATTGATGTAACTCCTAACTAAATGTATCAAAGTACTATTCACTATTGTTGTGGTCAGAGTCCAGTTGATTACTCTTGTTTAGTCAAATCTGTATTACAGTTGATTTAATTAAGAAACTTGGACGCATGTTACTGTTATGACAAGAAGTATGGAATCTTTTAACATTTCATTTCAAATAAATCTACCCTCCTGTCTTTTCGCTTCTTCTCTACATCTTCTTCTTACTTCCCTCATTGATCCTCTCTATCTCTTTTCTCTCTGTTGCAGTGTGAGCCTATCGAGCCTGCATTGTCAGAGCTTGGGGAAAGCGCTTGCGTCAGATCTCACCGTCCTGCTATAAAAGCACGGACCGCAGCAGCAGAGAGCAGTGGAGCTTAAACCTGAGCCCTACAAACACCTCCACACACTCTCACACACACAGAGAGGAGAGGGAGAGCAGCCTGTCTTCCCACAACCCCACAATGAGTAGCATCGGATATGACCCCTACTACACCGCCTCGCCGTACAAGCGCTGGTATGCCGAGGCTCCCCCTCGTGTGGCGGTGACCAGAGGGAGGACGCACTCCGTCTACTCCTCCCATGCTTCCCCTCTGTCCTCCTCCCGGGTGCAGTACTCCTCTCCCGGACGGAAGCTGCTCTCCTCCTCCTCCAGAGCCTCCTCTGTGGAGCTGGAGCTCAGCCAGGCCACCCAGATCAGCTCCGAGTTCCGCACCGTACGCACCAAAGAGCGCGGCCAGCTGCAGGACCTCAACGACCGCTTTGCCGGCTTCATTGAGAGGGTGCATGAGCTGGAGCAGCAGAACCGTGCTCTGGAGTCAGAGCTGCTGCTGCTGAGGCAGAAGCACAATGAGCCGTCCCGCCTGAGAGCGCTGTACGAGCAGGAGGCCCGGTCCCTGAGGGCCGCCGTGGACGAGGCCAGGGCAGAACAACAGTCCGTCCTGGGACAGAGGGAGCGGCTGGAGCAAACCCTGAGCGCCTTGCAGAGTCAATATGAAGAGGAGATTATGGGTCGAGAAGAGGCCGAGGGCAGGATGATGGACGCCCGCCGCGAAGCCGACCAGGCCGCCTTGACTAAGGCCGAAATGGAAAACAGAGTCGAAAGTCTGCTGGGAGAGCTGGCCTTCCTCAAGAGGATTAATGAAGGGGAGGTGGTGGAGCTCCAGGCCCAGGTCCAGATGAGTGTTCAGGTGGCAGTAGAGTCTGAGACCGCCACTCCAGACCTCTCTGGGGCTCTCAGGGACATCCGGTCCCAGTATGAAAAGCTGGCATCGAGGAACATGCAGACAGCAGAGGAGTGGTTCAGAGGCAAGGTGGGCTCCATGACCGAAACCGTGGCCCAGCACAGCGACGCCATAAGGAGCTCCAAAGACGAAGCAGGAGAGTACCGCCGCCAGCTCCAGGCCCGCCTGCTCGATATCGATGCCTGCAGAGGCATCAACGAATCCCTGGAGAAGCAGCTCCACCACACGCAGGAGAAGCAGAGCGCTGAGATAGACGCCATGCACGTCAGTAGTGGTTACAGATATCGTGATGTGTTAATTATACACAGCTTCTGATTTTAGGGGTTCTGTATAACTTAAGTGTTCAATATCATGTTATATATGTGTGTTTGTCTTTTATTTAGGAGACCATTGCAGAGTTGGAGAGTGAGCAGAGGGGCACCAAACAGGAGATGGCACGCTACATGAAGGATTACCAGGACCTGCTGAATGTCAAGATGGCTCTGGACATTGAGATTGCTGCATACAGGTGAGAGTCATTCTGGGAAATAAAGCTTTACATTGTGAAAGTGTTGCATAAATACCGGATTATGGGGAGGCAGAAGGTTTTCATAGATGTGTAGTTCATTCAAAAGGTAATTTAAGGTCAAAATGTGTTAACCCTCCGATAAAAGTAACCTGCATAAACATCTGGATAAAGTCGAATTCAAACAGCTAAGCTAAAGCATTTCTCATGCTTGTTTTTATTTGGCTAGATTAGTTAATGTCATTAAGTGAATGGCAAAACTAAATGTAAAATTTATTCAAACTTTTTTTTTCGAAAATATGTTTATTTTGTTACACATTCTGCAAAAAGTCACTACTCAAAGATGTATTATTACAAATGTTTACTTTTCACACTTGATATCACACACTGTACCGTTGCATGTTTATGAGTGGCCACTATGACTTTTCTGTCTATTTCCCAACCTCTACAGGAAGCTTCTGGAAGGGGAGGAGTCTCGCTTCAGTGGGGGCGTGTCCTCTCTGTACAGCCATAGTTTCTCAGCACCCTCCTACTCCCGGCCCCTCCTCTCCAGCGTGAGCTCCGGCACCTCCTACATGATGACATCACGCCTGCTCAGCTCCAGCCTGCTCAGCTCCAGCCTCAGCACCAACGAGGGAATCATCTTCGCCAGCCACGCCCAGCAAGCAGAGGCCAGCCCACCTGGGGAGGAAGAGGAGGTGAAGGAGGAAGAGGGAGGAGAAGTGACAGAGGAGACCAAGGAGGAAGAAGAGAAGGAGGATGAAGAGGGAGGAGAGGAGGAGGGAGATAAGGAGAAAGAAGATGAAGAAGGGGCCAAGGGAGATGAAAAGGCAGAGGGTTAGTGCATTGGTTTCTTTTTAAATGTTTTAATTGTTCAATTAAACCTCAATGTGTTCAATAATAATACAATGGTCCTCTTTGAATACAGGTGGTGATGAGGAAGAGCAAAAGGAAGAGGTGACAGAGGCAGCTGAAGATGACGGGGGAAAAGAGGACAAGGAAGAAGGACAGGAAGCTGAGGTCAAGGAGGAAGCACAAGAGGAGATAAAAACAGAAGCAGAGGACAAAGATGGGGACGCAAAAGAAGAAGAGAAAGACAAGAAGGAAGAGGTGAAGAAAAGTGAGCAGAAGGAAGATAAAGCGGACGCCAAGAAAGACGACAAAGCTGCTCCAAAATTAGATGACAAACCTGATACCAAAAAGGAGAAAGAGGCCAAATCCGAAGCTGCAGAAGAAAAAAGCACAAAGGGTAAAAAGTAAGCCAGTAGCCTCAGCAAACTTCAATCAAGACCTTCCTTTAGCTTGACAACCAGCAGAGGCATCTATGCTATGCTCTCCAGTCTGCTTTTGGTGCCCAATAAAACAGTCTGATAGCCATTTACAGCATTAAATCAAGGTAAACTGCTTGCCAACATCCAGAATATTCCATAATGGTCTGTGTCGCACACTTCCTGATGAGTGTTATATGTGTAATTGCTGAATGCCAAAGTGAGCGTGTACGTTTTTGGTGTTTAAATAAACACCTCTTAAAGCCATGTGTGTCATCGATTTGAGTATTTGAGTACTTATATTGATAATGTGTCACTAATTAGATGTTTCCCAGTCATTCAGCAGATTAGAAACATTGACAGGGAATCATTATACTAACACATATATAGGCCGAACATTTTCCATGACTGATAATGACCCCCCCCCCGGGCTGAAGCAAGACAAATGTTGAAGAACAACATTATTTGACACTTCTCATAAAATACAGTATAACCTAAAAACATATATTGATAATGTAACACGTAAAACTAAATTGATATTTCCTACCACCACTTTTAGTATTTGTTTTCCCCTTTACAAGGCCATAAAAAAGCCTGTTAATGTACACTCCCATAATGCTTTGGTGGTTGTAAACAGGAAGTAAAGTGTTGCCCTGTACTGTGAGATTTGGGGTAAACAACTTGAACGGTTTGTGTAACGTTCAAAGGCAATGAAACTAGGAATAATGCAAAGCGTATATGTGTTAACGATTTACTTGAATATAACTCCGAAAGGTGTTTTAAGTAGCCTACCGCCATGAGATGTGCGTCCTGAGCTGCTGTGCCAGCTGCTTTCTCTTTTGGTATGCAGGTCAAATCTCCGTTTTCTTTCTTTAAACATGCAGGTAATACAACCTGAATGTATCACAATAAGGGTTTAGCTGCTACAGTATAACTGCAGTACTTTGGTAGCCTAGGTCATGAACTGTAGATGTTAGCTAATTAGCTAATGTTAAGCTGAAGTTAGTGAGGGGTTGGATATTCGACACACATTCACTGGCCCTCTGTCTTTACCAGTTGTTTATCTCTGGGATCAAACTCCCTGCTAATGAGAGTTATTCAAGAAATATAGATATGTGTCTCAAGTGGCACCCCTTTTTTTAGAATAACTAATGTGTCATGATGAATTGATTTTAAAAGTACATTTCAATAGAAGATATTTTCCTTTTTTTTACCCCAATAGCTTTCTTGTCATGTGACCCATTGACATGGTCCATACACATAGTAGCCTTCTACACAGTAACAACACCCTTACAAGTTAGTTACACCCTTATTATTGGATGTAAAGGAATGTTTTATTTCAAATTATTTGTTTTATGAAACTTCTGCTGTTCATTAAAAGGTCTTGCTTTTCTCCCAGTGTGGCTCTAAATTAATGCAATTGTAATACACTGGATGAGAAGGACATACTTATGTTAATGCAATTTTACTAATGACTCCAAATCAATTCATCATAGAGTGGTGCAGGGATGACGTATTTACCCGGAAGTAAGCTGCCCATGGGTTCCCTCGACAAAAAAGCAATGGGATTTCTCCATAGGATTTTGGAAAATAGTTAGAAATAAGGTGTGTGGAAAATAAACCTGGTTGATAAATGCACGTTTTGTTCAGCCGGATAATTTCCACATGTCTACCCTACTTTTATCATTTTCGAATCATAAATCTAATCGCCAGAAGCAAAATGCTAACGTTATGCTATAAACGAACTACAGCCGAGTACAGCAGGGTCGCACGACTTCAACGTCACGCAAACTTAAGATCCATATTCAAAAATACAGATTCTAAATTGTGCAAGTTGAATCGTTTGATTTAACTGTTTGCAGGAAGCAGGTACTTGCTTTCAAGCAGAACAGGGGCAAACAAACTTAGCGGGAGTGTTTACGTGTTCGGCGTAATGACGTACAACGGCCTCGACAACTTCTGTAGTCCTATAAAGCCACTTGTTAACAACCATCGTTTTTCAGACACGTAAACTCTTCAAAAATCACCAGTGGGGTCACTGCTGATGTATTTAATGTCGTAGAACAAAACGTGATCTGTCTCTTAAATTTGTGTCAACCACAGACCTTATTTCCAGCTATTTTCCTAAATCCTATGCAGAAATCCCATTGACTCTGAGTTGACGGAACCGGTAGTGGTAAAATCCTAACTCACTTCCGGGTATTAGGACTCGTCACTGCTCCACTCTATTGTATTACTACAGTGTGCAAAGAGGACACATCTGTTTTTATTGGATTTTAGGGCTTTTTCTCGTAACACTTTATATTAAGGCACACAAATTAACCATTTAGCAGTAGGCTATATTGGCTCTTTATTAGTCATTATAAAACACTTATTAATGCCTTATTCTACATGACCATATTCTACAAGTAATAAGCCATTAGTTGAGAGTTTTTCCTCAATAACCCTCTAATTAGTGCTTATTTATTGCAAGTAAGGAAGTTGTTGTACATGAGTTTTGGTCTTAATATGCGCTGCTCAATATGGGCCTAATAAGGCAATAGTAGCACAAGAATAGTAATTCTCCCATAATAACACTTAACAAATATGATCTATTCTTATGGAACAAGACATGAAACTATAAGTGTTAATTGTGTCTAATACTGTATGCATGTTAATTAACAACTAGTTGATGGTTAATTTGTGTACCTTAATATAAAGTGTTACCGTTATTTGCAT